ATTCCTTTTCATTCTGGGCAGTCTGGAGCAACCTGAGGTTATCTCAAGACAGTTAAACTCTGATCAAATCTCTGAACATCAGCAAGGCCTGAAAACCTTCACTGTCACCCACCTACTGCCTTTCAAAATGAAAGATAAATTGGAAATAATTATCCTTGGCATCACAGTCCATGAAATTGTTGCTTTCATAGCTTTTAGTCTCTCTGTAGAACATGTGTGTATATACCTGATATGTCCCCAGTCTACTCCTTCAAAAAAGGGATGACTCTTGATTTCCTCTACTCCATTGCTACCAATTCGATTTTCAGAGTCGATACAAAACCTAAAAGAAAGGGGAAAAAATATAGAGAATGTCACAATTAATGCAGACAGCAGCAACAGCAAATTAAAGAGATTCAGATCTTTCTTGTACTGTGACACCCAAACTGCACACAGTGTTCAAGGTGAGGCCACACCAGCACCGAGCAGAGCTGTAGACTTAGTGACCCTAAACTCACAATCTCACATCCTCCAGATCCACAAGGCACTTTCCCCATCCATACACTCACTATGAAAAGGTCACCTTCCCACTAGTTAGTGACACCCTCAGCAGGTCACTCAGTAAGGCAGCAAGTTGGGCTATAAACTGTCTCCAATTATAGACTGCAATGTTCCTTTCCTTGCAGTTGAGGGTCACTGGGGAAGAAAACCTGTGCCTATACTTCTACTGCAGCCCAGACAGCTGCTTGATGCTAAGTACTAAAAATAGCCCTCAAACCTTGTAACAACAGTTAGCCAGACCAGGTTGTGGGATTTGTCAGGCTTTATCTCCACTGAGCTTATTTTAGTTTGCATTTCTCTGTATCTATATAAATAAAGAATCTTCCTTTAAGCCAAATTACATGTTGCCTAACTTGTCCAAGCTGTAATGGACAAAGTGCCCCATGGGCAGGTGTTTGTTGTCCAACCTGCTGTTTTGCCCTAATTTTATGAGATTGTCTATAACTAAAGATGTTTTACCCCAATTTAAACCCTTCCATATGTGAAGACAAACTAATAAATTCAAGCAGTCATTATATAAGTAAATTCATGAGCAAGATATGTTAACAAATACAATGAAGTATCTAAAAATGCCCCCAAACCAGTCAAGACCGAGGAGGAAGAAATCCTTCAACAGCAGCAACACTGTACTCTTTCCAGCAAAGAGCTCAGGATGCTGACAACATGCAGGAGAGGTTACAGAGAACACTAGGGAAATAGATTCTGAAAATGTAATTAAACTGTTTACACAGACTTATGAATGAGGATTAGCAATAACTAAATGATTTGAGGTGTTAGTATCACTCTAACTGGATTCAGGATAACTTTGTTAAGGGGTTTTGTGCTTGAACTTGTTTTTTGCTACTTGAACTAATATTAAGTTCTAGTTCTTGGCTCGGCCTGTGAAGGACGTTCCCCTTTCTGCATGTAACAGAATTGTGTAAATTTGTAACATCAGCTTTGAAGGGGACAAAAACCAGAACAAAATACCAAAGCCACAAGCCACATGTCCCCCAGAAACCTCCCAGGACAAGAGATCATTTCTGCCTGACCCTGACACCAAAAGTCCTCAGGAAAACTTCAACAGAAACTGAATGGATTAAGAACTGGAATTTTGGAAAAAGTGAGTAAATCCAAAACATTCAAAGATTTCTACTCAGTGCATTAAATGCTGGTGAGAGGTTATTTTCTAGTCCCCTCTGAGAAAAATGGTGTGTTAGTCCCTTTTTTTTCCCTTTCTATTTTTGTCTGCTCTGTTTCTCCTGATCCCGTGGTACAACATCATCACATTAAACAAATGGCAAAGGGGGAGAAAAAGCAAAAAAAAAAGCCATCCAGGATGGCAACACAGAAAAAAGCAACTGTCCCTCCAACATAAAGCTTCTTTCATGCAGAACAGAGAGTTATCCCAAGGGAAGATGCCCCTGGCTGTGAGTGGCCACAACAGGGCTCTTGTTACTGACCTTAGGATTAAATCCTTGGCTTTCTCTGAAATGGGAACCTCTGGAGGGAATACCAACGTTTCTTTCCAGTTCATAACCTTCCTGTAAGTCTCTTGTGGTGTTTCTGAGCAGAAAGGTGGATACCCTGCACAAACACATGGAAAATTAATAACCTTTTCCCAGGAGAGCAAAGTGATCTGAGCCTCTGCTGCTGTCACTAGAGCTCCCAAATCCAACAAGTACTAGCAAAACGTTTTCTCTTCTGTAATGCAATTAAAAGTTACTATGTTATTTCCAAGTAATGAGACTGAACCTCAAAAACGTTTAACAGTGAACAGTTATCCACAGAAACATAATCTCTTGCTGTCTTCTTGGAAAGGTGGGAGGACTTCAAGGTCTTCTGGAAGCCGAATTTGGGGCTTAATTCAGATAGAACTGATGTTCTATCTGTGCAGATCTGTGCCGAGGATCAGACTCTGAACAAATGGACCCTGTTACCTTTGAATCCTGGGACTAATTCTTAATTTGAGGTCCTCAACTTACCTATTAGCATTTCATACATAATCACTCCCAAAGACCACCAGTCACACAGCTTGTTGTAGCCAGTCTGCATGAACACCTCAGGTGCAATGTAGTCTGGGGTTCCAACAGTAGAATATGCCTGGAAAAAAAACCCAAACAATTCTTTAAAATATAAATACTACAGTTTAACGCTATGCAAAAGCTTTCCCTGGGAATTCCCATGGAGCATCTTATTTGGGTCAGGATAAAAATGCTTAATTTAAGGATGTACAGCATAAAATCCCAAGAATATTATTCTTTTACATGAGTAAACACAGAGAATTTCAAAAGTAAATGGAAATCATCCTCCTAAATGTGATGGAAT